AGTCCCCAGAAGTGGAGAACAGGGATGGAATGCTCTCCCCATGTTTCTGGAAGTTCCCTGAGGCCCTGCCCAGCTTCTCTTTGATGGTAGGTTAGACCCAGGGACAGCAGCCGTGCTGGGGAGGACTCGGCCGAAACAGAAGGCAGCGAGGGTAATCTGGGTCCACACTTTCTGTCCTGGTCCATTCATACTGTTATAACAACATACCCCAGATTGGATAGTTTATAAACAGCAAGAATTTATTTCTTGTACTTCTGGAGCCTGGGAAGTCTAAGATCACAGCACCAGCAGATTAGGTGTCTGCTGGGAGGTCTCTGCATCATAGATGGGGCCTTCTACATGTCCTCTCATGTCAAACAATCCAAACAGATGCACCCAAGCCTTTTTATAAGGCCATGAGTCCCATTTCTGAAGGTGGAACCCTCCTGACCTAATCACCTCCTAAAGGCTCCACCTCTTAATGCTGTTGCATTGGGGATTCAGGTTCAACATGAACTCTGGGGGGACCCCAACATTCAAACCGTAGTACTTTCCTTCTGAAATTGCTGATAGGATGAAACTCTGGCCTTCCTCCTGATACCCCCCTTCTTTCCTTTATTCTTCTGCATTTGCATCGCTTGATTTTCTGTTTCCCAAATTTTCTGAAGATCCCGTTGTATCAGTAAATTTCCGATGATGAAATGCCAAGAGCCCGTTCCACTCTTGTACAGTCAGGATGGCGTGTGTCTGCGCTGAGGACAACAGGCAGACTCAAGTCCTCTGTCTTTTTCAGAGACAACCTTGAGAGCAAACAAGGCAAATGAAAAGGTTGTTAATAAAAATAAACAGTAGGCAAGAGATCATGAAAATAGGAAGAAAATAAGAAAGAAAGAGAAGCAGGGAAGGAGAGAGATGGTGTCTGTGGGGTCACGCGGTATGAAAAGTTTTCAGCAGGCAAAGATGACCCTTACTTATTAGGCTGGTGCAAAAGTAATTGCGGCTTTTAATGGCAAAGACACAAATACTTTTGCACCAACCTAATACTAGAAGACTCACTCGCTGCTTTTCTCTCTCTCTCTCTCTTTTCCTTTTTTTTAAAAGGAGTCTTGCTGTGTTGCCCAGGCTGGAGTTCAGTAGCATGATCTTGGCTCACTGCAACCTCCGTCTCCTGGGTTCAAATGATTCTCCTGCCTCAGCCTCCCAAGTAGTTGGGACTACAGGTGTGCACCACCACGCCCAGCTAATTTCTTGTATTGTTTAGTAGAGATGGGGTTTTACCATGTTGGCCAGGCTGGTCTCGAACTCCTGACCTCAGGCAATCTGCCTTCCTCACCTCCCAAAGTTCCGGGATTACAGGTGTGAGCCACTGTGCCCAGCCACTCCCTTCTCCTCTTTTCCTGCACTGAGCATCTCCCACCTTCCAGCAGATCTGATGGATCAATTTATTTCAATGTATAATGATTGATGAAGGTTGAAATATTAGTCATCCCTAAAATATTCACATAATAAAAATGGATACTTAAAAAATGTCCTGAATATCCCCCCAAAAGCCCTCCAAAGTAGCAGGCATTTGAGACAACCCAGTCCTTGCTGGTATCTCAACTTCGTTAACTCACAAATGAAGAAAATAACAATATAAATGTTGGATTTGTGCATATGTGTTATTGCTGAATTTTTAAGTCATACCATTCTTTATATTCAGGAGATGTATTGAGCACAATGCATCATGAAGAATGATTTAATTTGGATGCCTTTGTAAAACTCCACGGGCAAATTATTGCCAACCACAGTCATTGGAAGAATCTTTCTTGCCCTGTTATTGTTCAGATTTTTCAAATTTCCATTGGCAACTGAGAAGCCCGTTAGGATTGTCAGGACATTTTTCCCTTTTATCAGAGGACTCCTGAGGGATCCTTGAACTCAATGGGGGAGGGTGGCGTTAAGAGTTTAGCCTTGGAGTGCCAGTGGGGTTTTCTGCTCTGAAAAGGAAATGGCAGGATCATGGGAAAATGGGCAGTGTGTCAGGAAGCAGCATGACTTTCAGATGCGGCATGCCTGGGCTTTAGGATGATTATTTAACGTGTTTGAATTTGTGTGTTTTGTGGGTGCTGATGCTCAAAATCTACAAGGGCAGAAACCGCAACCCCTCCTAAGCTTTTCTTCCAAGCAATGCTGGACAGCACGCACAATGCCCGGAATGATGACTGAGCTCGGGCTGTGACCCTTTCAGGGGGACCTCCGGTGGGATGCTGCTTGGGAATGCAGCCCTCCCAGGCCACCGGCGAGGGTGACTAATGAAACCGGCTTTTACACCTTCTCTCCTCAGGGCAGAAGAGAAACTCCTGGGTAAGTTGTGATGGTGCAGGATGAGCATGCACCCCGTCCCAGGATCGTTTCCAGGGCTGCACATCTGCTCCCACCCACCACGCCAGAATTTCACATTTCATTTTAATTCCACCCATGAGGTCAGCATTCCTAAGTAACAGCTCTTTGGGACATGTGAAAGTGAGAAATCACCCATATTTTCTTGGGAGGAAAACCAGAAACCAAACAGCCACTAACCATTGGTGCACTCTGGGACATCTGAGACGTCTGCCCTTTTTTTTTTTTTTTTTTTGCTGAATGCAGCACCTCTCATCTGACCCGCCACAACACCATCTGTTGCGATGTGCCCAGAACCTAAAAAGAGCATGTCTTGGCAGAAGAGGGTGTATTTAAAGGCCATCGACAGCAGACCAGTTTCTCATTTTAAAGAAACACAAAGAAAAAGTCCTTCTATCTGATGCATTCAGGAGAATTGTCCATGGAAAAACAAAAAGCTAGTTAAGAAATTACAAATATGTGAAGTATTTTACTTTTACTTAAGAGACACAAATACAATTTGTTGGAAATAAAAATTCCTCTTTTGGTGTGAGAACCAAGTTCTGTTCTTTGAGTGAGGCCTTTTTGCGGGAATTCTGCACCAATCTTCTTGCAACATCACCTCTTCTTGCATCATCTCATCTTTTCAGATAAGAGTTCTTTAATGTCGAGCAAGAACTTAGAAATACACAATGCAATATGTGGGTAGAATCTTTCTTCCTAAGGTATAAAGTACAACTCTTTACCATAATAAAGATAGCAATGCTTTGGGTTTTGGGGTATTTTCTTGGTTTGCTTTTTAAAATTTTACTTTAAGTTCTGGGATACATGTGCGGAACCTGCAGGTTTGTTACATAGGTCTACATGTGCCATGGTGGTTTGCTGCACCTATCAACCCTTCATCTAGGTTTTAAGCCCTGCATGCATTATGATTTGTTCTAATGCTCTCCCTCCCCTGGTTCCCCATGCCCCGACAGGTCCTGGTGTGTGATGTTCCCCTCTCTGTGTCCATGTGTTCTCATCATTCAACTCCCACTTATGAGTTGATTTTCTGTTCCTGTGTTATTTTGCTGAGAATGATGGCTTCCAGCTTCATCCGTGTCCCTGCCAAGGATATGATCTCGTCCTTTTTATGGCTGCATAGTATTCCATGGTGTATATGTACCACATTTTCTTTATCTAGTCTATCATTGATGGGCATTAGGGTTGGTTCCAAGTCTTTGCTTTTGTAAATAGTGCTGCAATAAACATACGTGTGCCTGTGTCTTTATAGTAGAGTGAGTTATAATCCTTTGGGTATATACACAAATTGTTGGGTTATTTTTTGTTTGTTTGTTTGTTTGTTTGTTTGAGATGGGGTCCTGCTCTGTCACCCAGGAGGCTGGAGTGGAGTGCAGTAGCAAGATCAAGGCTTATGGCAGTCTCGACCTCCCAGGCTCAACTGATCCACCCACCTCAGCCTCCTGAACAGCTGGGACTACAGGTGCACACCAACACGCCCAGCTAGTTTTGGAACTTTTTGTAGAGTCAGGCGTTTGCCATGTTGCCCAGGCTGGGCTTGAACTCCTGGGCTCAGGCAATTTGCCCAACATGGCCTCCCAAAGTCCTGTGATGACAGGCATGAGCCACTGTGCCTGGCCCAAATCTTTCTAGATGTTTACAATCTCCACCCCACTCCCCGATGTCTTGACCACAACTTTTTTTCAATAAAGCATTTTATTTATTTATTTATTTTTAATTATACTTTAAGTCCTGGGGTACATGTGCAGAATGTTCAGGTTTGTTACATAGGTATACACGTGCCATGATGGTTTCTGCATACGTCACCCCATCATCTACATTAGGTATTTCTCCTAAAGCTGTCCCTCCCCAATGCCCCCACCCCCTGCTATCCCTCCCCTAGCTCTCCCACCACCCGACAGGCCCCAGCATGTGATGTTCTGCTCCCTGTGTCCATGTGTTCTCATTGTTCAGCACCCGCTTATGAGTGAGAACATGCGGGGTTTGGTTTTCTGTTTTTGTGGCAACAACTTTTTAAAAACACTTTAAAGAGACTCAGTCTTTCCAGAGCATTCATCTTCATTTTCATATAAACAATAGCTCTCTTTCCTTTTGCACTTACGTTTCATAGAGTCATGTAGTATTTGCCTAAATTACATCATGATAACAACCAATGTAACTGGTATAAACAGGCTTGGTGGGGAGGCCAAAGCAACTGCATCTTGGATGCTAATCCACCACGTACTTCTCATTAACGCCAGTTCCAGGAAGGCCTCTGAGATTTCTGTTATCCACTGTTTCTTACATAAGAGCACGTACTTATGGTAAGTCCTACCCTTAAGCAGTTGTCCTACACATTCCTCTCCCTACAATAAATAAGTGCTGGCTGTGGGAGATAGTGGTGCACGGATATCGGCTGTCTCATCTTGTGGCCGCGTGGGACATCATGGCTTCTGTTTGTAAGTCCCTGTAAAATGTTTCTATCTAAGAAACTGGATTTGTCAGCCTCTTTCTTTGGCCTCTCAGCTTCCTTGGGCTTTGGGTTAGGTTTGCGTAGACCTGCCCACCGTCACTTGGGAACTCCTGGGCTCGAGCAATCCTTCTGTCTTAGGAGGATTTATCAGAGAGCAACTCACTAGCCTCAAAATATGAGGCTGGGCGTGGTGGCTGATGCCTGTAATCTCAGCGCTTTGGGAGGTCGAGGTGGGCAGATCAAATGAGGTCAGGAATCTGAGAACAGCCTGGCCAACATGGTGAAACCCCATCTCTACTAAAAATACAAAAAGAAATGAGCTGGGCATGGTGGTGGGTGCCTATAATCCCAGCTACTCAGGAAGCTGAGGCAGGAGAATTGCTTGAACCCAGGAGGTGGAGGTTGTAGTAAGCCAAGATCACATCATTGCACTCCAGCTTGGGCAACAAGAGCAAAACTCTGTCTTAAAAAAAAAAGAAAATATATATATATATATTATATGCACATGCTGAGTCTATTTTGAGGAAGATATGCAGAATATTGGTCAATCCAGTGATGAGAGTTAAGGGAAGGTTAGTTAAGAGAGATTTGATGTACAACAAGAACTTAGAAATACACAAAGCAATATGTGGGTAAAGTACTTTTAGATTTTTTACAGTATTCTCTCCATCCTGCAATGTCTTGGCCACACCTTCCACACTGGAAACCTGAACTACTTGGGTTCAAATCTCAGTTTGCCACTAACAAATTGAGTTTGGGCAAGTTATTCAGGTCTGGTGTTTCCTTATTTATCCCATGGGAGAGTAACAGCTTCTAACTCATATGACTAGGTCTGATTAAAGGTACAGTCAAACAAATGTAAGACTCTCCTTTCTTCTCACCACCTATATTTATAGGATATAGATACTTCCCCAAAGAATCAGACGTGAGTATGATAATATCAGAACTTCCATGTTACTATCCCTGGGCTTCACTGGCTGAACTAGGACCTTGCCCTCACCCAGCACAGTCTCCTCTAGTTATTGCTGGGAAGATCCCATGAGTGTCTTAGAACATCTTGGGACTATTCCTGCTTCCCTTTGTTCCTTTTCTTTTTCAGAAAAACCAAAACATTCGAATCTGGATCTTTGAAATGTCAGAACAGCACCTCATTGTGAACAAATCTATGCTGAAGCTTCACCCAAAATGCTGATATATCTCTACTTTTCTCCTTTTCAAAAAGAAAATGAAAACGTGTTATAAAATTTTGGAACCAGATTTTTCTTATTTAAAAGTATGTGATGGCTCTGACTGCATTAAGTATTATTTTTATCATCATTCTAAATGTTTGCTTAGAATTCTAATGCATGGAAATATAGGGATGAATTAATTATTTTCTCTTTTATTCTTTTACTTTTTTTGGCTATATCAACAGCATTGCTATTATTCAACACTCTTCTGAAAATCCTAGCCAACTCAATAAGTAACATATAATTATGAAGAAGGAGCCAAAATTATCATTAGTCACAGTTGTGAGGCAATGGCAACCAAAAACTACTACAACTGATGAGAACAGCAGGATTGTGTTAAATAAGAATTAAATATATATGTAGATGTGTATATATGTGCGTATTTAGGTGTGTGTGCATATACACACACACACATATAGTTTTCCTGTGTGACAAAAATTACCACCTAAAACATAATGTAAAGAGGAATACAATTAAAACTAAGGTATAATTAAAACAAAATTCTTAGGTCATATTAAAAGAACATAACATTTTGCCAAGGCATATAAAAAGACTTAGATATTGCTATAATGAATGCTTTTATTTTATTTTTCTAGAGACAGGGTCTCACTCTGTCACCCAGATTGAAATGCACTGGTGCGATCATAGCTCACTACAGCCTTGAACTCCCGGGCTCAAGTAATCCTTCCGTCTCAGCCTTTTGAATAGCTGGGACTACAGGCATGCACCACCACACCCAGCTAGTTGGGGGTTGCACTATGTTGCCCAGGCTGATTACAAACTCCTGGGCTCAATAGATCCTCCCATTTTGGCCTCTCAGAGTGGTTGGATTACAGGCATGAGTCACTGAGCTTAGCCTTACAATTTTAATATGATGACATTCAAACTCTCCCTTTGATTCTTTTTGAAACTTTGAATATAATGTTTAAATTCATCTAGAAAAGTCAATGGGAAGACTGAATAGGCAGACTCTGAAACCCAAGTCCCCCTGCTACCCCCACTGCCATGGAGCTGCACTGTGGGGGTGTGTTCTATTGAAGTGGGTACAATAACAGCCCAGTGACAGGTAAATAAAAGACAACAGAAATCCCCCAAACAGACTCAAGTATCAATTTAGTATTTGATAAAGATGAATTCAAGCACTAAGGTAACATTGAAGGTAAACATCGATATTTCAGCCACGTGTTCAATTTGACTAGCCTCCATCTTAATTTCTCTAGTGAGATTTTTTTGCTGCATTTCACCAAAGGTCTCCTGTGGTATTCACTTAATGTTAGCAGTGCAGTAGGGAGACATGAAGAACTTGGGAGCCTGAGGCTGGGCACCAGGCACCGTGGCTCATGCCTATTATCCCAACACTGTGGGAGGTTGATGCGGGCGGATCATATGAGGTTGGGAGTTTGGGACCAGCCTGGTCAACATGGTGAAACCCCATCTCTACTAAAAACACAAAAATTAGCCGGGCATGGTAGTGGGCGCCTGTAATCCCAGCTACTCGGGAGGCTGAGGTAGGAGAATTGCTTGAACCTGGAAGGCAAAGGTTTCAGTGAGCTGAGATTGGGCCACTGCACTCCAGCCTGGGTGGCAGAGAGAGACTCGGCCTCCAAAAAAACAAGAAGAAGAACTTGGGAGCGTGAACTGCTTGGGTTCAAATCTCAGTTTGCCACCATCAAGCTAAGTGACTTTGAGCAAGTTATTTATATCTGGTGTTTCCTTATTTCTCACATGGGTTGGTAACAGCTTCTTACTTGTACAACTAGGTCTGAACTCATGAATTGTGTAAAACTGTATGTTCACAGGTATTTAAAACTAATACTTGTGAAATACTTAGAACGGTACCTAGCACTCAATACATATCTTGTAAGAGTTAATAATTATTTTCATGTCATGGTTTCTCTTTTACAAAAACACAGACTTTACACAAATTCTCAGAGCAAAATCTCAGTACCCTCAGAACTTCTGTAGTGGGGTAGGTACGCAATCTATACCTGAAATGTGATTGAGTTATTCGGACCTGGTGTTTCCTTATTTATCACATGGGATAGTAACAGCTTCTTATTCATATAGCTAGGTCTGAACTCATGAATTGTATGAAATTGTGTGTTCACAAGTATTTAAAACTAATACTTTTCCTGGACCATACCCCTCAATCACATTGCAGGTATAGATTGCCCAGGAGGCAGTTTGAGTTGCTTTATTTTAAAATTAGTGCCTGTGTATTTTTTTAAATGCCAATTTCTTCATCAAGTCATCTGTTTTTAAGTGACAATCTTGTGAAAATTGCTAGTGAATGCATAGCAAAATGTTAACGGTAATTATCTCTGATGTGATTATGTGAGATCCTTACTGTCTTCCCTTATTTTTCTCCAGTTTCCCGATATTCTACATTAGAAATATTACATTTTAGAGTTAGAAAAAATATGTATTAACACAAAAACAACAAACACTTAGGAAGCCTCAAGCTATTAGTCTCTGAGGTTAGAGGCATTTTAACTGCTAACTCAGACTAGCTGATATTTCTTGCTTTCTTACCTTTTAACAAAAATTCATAAGGAATGGACTTACCAGATGCTCAGACTTAAACTGTGAGAGGCAACAATACAACAGAATTTCCTAGGGAAACACCGGCTCCCTGGTACCACCGTTGCCACATGGCTTGGCCTGATAGAGGCAAGACAGTGTGAAAGAATGAAAGGCCTTGGGTTTCAGGGGCGGATGGGTCTGAGCCTAGGCTGAGCTGGTGATGCTTCAGGCTCCCTTAAGGTAGGACTCGGGCAGGGCTCCAAGAATGAGATTTGGAGGTGGGCATATGAAAACCAGCTCAGATGTGCATTTTGGGTTCTCGCTCCCCATGTCGTTGGAGCTAGCCACTGGGACACTCCAGGGAGCCCTCCTCATAACGGCTGGCCCTTTCCTATTCTCACTGTGCAGACCTCTTGGGAATGTCCTCAGTCTAGCTCAGCATATCCCTCAGTCAAGAGCTTCAGAGCCCCCTTCTTATGACGTGCTGCATGAATCTTACCTCCTGGAAAGACTTTCCTCTCCCCAGGAGCCCATCTGTGGCTATCTCCATCCACACCTCAGCTCCTTAACATTCAGCCAAGTATCTCCAGCCACGTGCTTTACATGGTTCTGAGCTGTGACCGAGGCAGACACTGAGAACCAATGATTGTTGGCAAGAATGGAGAATCACCCACCTTGGCCTCTCAAAGTGCTTAGGAGGAAGGGGAGTGGTGGGTATTTTAAAGATATACTGGCCGGAACCAAGGCAGCTCTAGGGCGGAGCAGCAGAGCATGTTGTACAACTTAGGAGGACATGATTTCTGCTTTGGTCTGTGTGAATTGTACTCCTCAGCTCAGTTCAGATCTTCTAAAGAGCAGAGGCCGAAACTGAATCAGACACCTGTGTTAGTTTGCTAGGGCTGCCCCAACCAAGTGCCACAAACGGTGATTTAAACAACAGCCGTGTTAAACAACATCTCACAGTTCAGGAGGCCTGAAGTCTTAAGTCAGGTGTTGGCTCTTGCTGAGGGCTGTGAGGGAGAATCTGGTGCCTCTCTCCTGACTTCTCATAGCCTCAGGAGTTCCTTGGCTTGGAGATGACTCTGCCTGTGTCTTCACACCATCTTCCCTCTGCATGCGTCCACATCTGTGTCCAAGCATTCACCTCCTTATTAGGACACCAGTCATACTGGACTAGGGCTCACCCTAATGACCTCATCTTTATACATTCTTTTTCCATTAGACAGAATCTTGCTCTGTTGCCAAGACTGGCATGCAGTGGCACTATCTTGGCTCACTGCAAACTCTGCCTCCTGGGTTCAAACCATTCTCCTGCATCAGCCTGCCGAGTAGCTGGGATACAGGTGCCTGTCACTACGCTCGGCTAATTTTTGTACTTTTAGTAGAGATGGCACCATGTTGGCCAGGCTGCTCATGAACTCCTAAGGTGATCCACCAGCCATAGCCTCCCAAAGTGCTGGAATCATAGGCTT